CGCTTGGTCCCACAATTTGTGGGCCTTTTCGGTCGTGTCATCCAGCCTGCGGTGGCGTTGGGTGGCTCGTATTCCTTTTGGGGGTTCGGGGCTAGCAGGGCAAGCTGCTTCTCCTACACTTCGACAAGTCAATTTGGAGTGGGTGGGCCTGGGTGTGGTCGAAATGACCCCGTCCCTCAGGTGGGTTTCCCGCCTGTTTCTAGTGCCGAAACGGGACTGTGCGGATCTGAGGTTCATTCTGGACTTGTTCCGTCTGAACCCCTTTGAGGTTCCGTTTGACTTCGGCGTCTGTTTTGGTTCCTTCGGGAACGCCCCTTCTGCCTCTCTCGTGATTGTTTGGTTTTGTCCTCCGGGGGCCTTGTGTTGGTTCCTGTGTCGCTGGCTTCCTCTAAGGGGTGTTCGGGGTTCGGTGCCTTGCCGCCTTCCCGAGCCTTCGCTCGGTGTTCACGGACGTGTCGTCTCTCGGCTGGGGCTTTGTGACCAGTGCTCACCAGGCCGGCCAGGGGCTGTCCTTATGTCAGGCTCACAGCACGGTTCAGGAGTTCGCCGCAGTCTGGGTTGCGCTTTGGAGGGTTTGGGTTGCTTGGGGTTCGACCATCTGGCTCCATTCGGACTGTTCTCCAGTGGTTCATTGCCTGAACCGCGGAGGGTCTCTTCGGTCCTTACCTCTTTGGGGTTGGTCCCTTCGAGTGGTTCATCTGCTGGATTCTCGGGGTTTGGCTCTTCGTGTGGTTCATATCTGGGGAGTGTCCAACGTCCTGGCGGACGGCCTGTCTTCCTTCATTCCCCTGTCCATGGAATGGACAGGGGAATGGTTGACGACAACTCGTTTCGTTGGATCTGCCAGACATACGGACTCTCGAACGTGGACCTCTTTGCGTCGGTGTGGTTTCGGCGTCTCCCAGTCTGTGACGCTCTTCCCTGACTGCGAGGCGTTCACCGTGGATGCCTTTCGGCTGGACTGGTTGAGGTGGGGGTTACCTGTACCTCTTTTTCCCAGTCCAGCTGTTGCTTCGGGTTCTGGCTTGGTTGGAGACCTTCCCAGGGAGAGTAGTCCTTGTGGCCCCTTGGTGGCTGGCCTAGCCTTAATTTCCGGCGCTGTTTGCTCGGTGTCCAAACCCGGGGCATTTCCCCCGGCTCCGCCTCTTTCAGCAAGTTGGACCGGTCCGGTATGAGGTTGGTTCGACCTTCTCCTCTGCTCTTCGCGTCTGGTCTTTTTGATATGGGTGTATCACCATTTCTGTGGTGATCAGGTTGCTTTGTTGATGGTGTCCCACCTGAGAGCTTCGTCTCGGCAACAGTATGAAATTTCCTGGCTTTCTTTTCACCATTTTCTTGCTCTTTGTAAGTTGTCTTCTCTTTCGGATCGGGTTGTCTTGTCCTTTCTTGGATTTTTCAGGACCGTCATCTGATGTCTAATACTGTCGTCTCGTATCGTGCAGCACAGGCGGAGCCGCTCCAGCTTGAGTTCGGGGTGGACATCACATCCGCCCCATTCCGCATCCTTTCTCATGCTATGTTTCACCTCCAGCCTGCTAATGCGCAGCCTGAGCCGTCCTGGTTCTTAGACAGGGTGCTCTCTTATCTTTCCTCTCCTTGGTTTGTGGTGGCCCCTTTTGTCCAAGATTGTTTTTCCAAGGCCCTGTTTTTGTTGGCATTGGCCTCTGGGGGTCGGGTATGGGAGCTTCATGCTCTCCTCCTGCGCAGGGGTTTTTGCTCTTTTGGTCCTGGTGGTAGGTTTGTACATTTGCAGTCTTCTCCATCTTTTCTGGTGAAGGACGAGACAGCTGCTTTACGGGGGGATCTTTGGGTTATTGATGCTTGGTTGGTTCGGCCAGGGGTGCATCGTGTGTTGTCCGGTTGTGGCTCTTCGCCGTTACCAGCGCGCCTCGGCTGGGGTAGCTGGGGATGCGCTTTGGGTTGATCCGGTTTCCCTCGTTCCCTGTTCCAGGGCTCGGGTCTCCCAGGTTGTCCACAGGATTATTAAGTCTAGCCAGCCTGTAGTCTATCCTCGTGGCCATGACATTTGGAAGTTTGCAGCATCGGCTGCCGTGTGGTAACATGTCTTGGGCTCATATTCGGGCGTGTGGATTTTGGAGATTGAACAGGGTCCTGGTCGCATTATTTGGGGAACGTGCCTGCTCCTGGGCGTTCTTGTGTTGCTTTGGGTCGCAGGTTGCAGCCAGTTGTCTCGACTTCGCGTTGAGGAGTTTGTGGCGGCTGCCTCCCAGGTAAGTCCCTATTTACTTTCTCTTTGAATATGTAGCTCCAGGGAGCTGTAGGGGCTCCCCTCAGAAAACCAGCGTTGAATGTAATGAAACGCCATTTTCTGGGCGAGCCCTGGAGGCTCCCTGGCAACCCTCCCAAGCACCGGTCAGCGTTTTTTTTGCATTGGTTGAAGCTTGGCTTTCGAACTGGAGTGCTAGGTAGCCGGTGCAGTGAGGTCCGGGGCCCCACCCCTCCCCCTTTCGGGGAGGGGTGGGCTGCGCGGATGAGCGGTGCGACAGTAAAGTGTGATGTTTGCTTGTTTCCTTGGGATTGTAGGGAGTTTCTACCTCTGTTCGGTTTTTTGTTTGTCTCTTACCTTTTCGGGTTTGTTTTGTTATGCCTACCTTTCTGGGTGCCTAACCCTGATCAATGGCAGATAAGGCAAACCTCCAACCACAGGTAGGTTTTCCTGGGCCATTGCTCCATGAAACCTCTCTGAAGGGGCCAGGTTCTGGCTCTGGTCCCTGGTAGGTCTGAACTCCATGGCTAATGTCTCAGTCTAATATAAAGTACATTAGCCCGATAAGCTCCAGGGAGCCTCTGGTGCTCACCTAGAAAATGGCGTTTCATTACATTCAACGCTGGTTTTTTGAGGGGGATTCGAGCCCCTTGGCAGTTGCTTGAGCAGCTGTGCGGGAGCTTGAACTTTGCCCTGCTGGTTTATCTGCTGGGCAGTGTTTGGCTTCAGAGGCTGTTCTGGTATCTTCAGAGCAGCCTCTTTCGCCGTTCTTGCAATAGCTGGGTTCGTTCCCTGGTGTCCTTGTGTTGGTTGCTGCGTCTCCGACTTCCTTTTCGGGTTTAGGGGGTTCGGTGCCATGGTGCCGCCACCTTCCCCTCGCTCGATGTATTCATGGATGCCTCGTGTCGCGGTTTTGTGACCATTGTTCACCAGGCCATCCAGGGGCGTTGGGTGCCGTCCTTCTTTCGAGCTCACAGCATGGTGTGGGTATTTGTGGCTGTGTGGGAGGAATTGTGGCGAATCCGGCTTGCTCAGTGATCCAGCTCCATTCGGACAGCTTCCCGTGGTTCCTTGTTTTAATCGGGGAGGGGGGGGATGTTTCTTCGGTCCGTGGCTTTGGGCTGGTCACTTTAAATGTCTCTGCTGCTAAGTTCTCGGGGTTTAGCTTTCCGTGCCATTTACATTCCGGGTGTGTTCATCATCCTGGCAGATGGGCTGTCATGCTTCATTGCCTCCTTCCTTTGGCTTTGTCGGATGTACGGGCACCTGGAGGTGGACCTCTTCACGTTGGTATGGATTCGGCATCTCCCTGTCTCGTGATCAGGTGGCTTCTTTGATGGTGTCCCACCTACTGTCTTCTTCTCAGCAACAGTATGAAGTTTCTTGGCGGTTTTTCCATCATTTTCTTTCTTTTCATCCGTTTTTGGACCAGGTTGTTTCTTCTCTTCTCTTGGTGTTTTCTGGCTCGGGATCTCTTGCCTTTACTGTCACTTCGTATTGCGCGCCGTTGGTGAAGCTGCTGCTGCTTGCGTTCGAGGTGGATGTTACTTCCGCTCAATTCCACTTGCTTTCTTGTGCGTTTTCTTGACTCTGGCCTGCTCATGCACTACCTGAGCCTTCTTGGTCTTTGGACCACATTCTTTGTTTTCTTCTCGCTTTGTTGTGGCTCCTTTGGTTCGGGATTGCTTTTGGAAGGCTTTGTTTTTGTTGACCTTCGCCTCTGGGAGTTGGGTTGGGGAGCTTCATGCTCTCCTCTGATGCCGGGGGTTCTGTTCATTTGGACCAGGTGGTAGTTTTGTTCATTTGCTGCCTTCTCGTCCTTTTCTGGTGTAGAATGAGATAACTGGCTTCCGGGGGGGTCAGTTGATTGTGGATGCTTGGTTGGTTAGGCTAGGGGTGCATCACGTGTTGTGTCCGGTGGTGACCTTACACCGCTACCTGTGGGCCACTGGTTCTGTGATGGTGGACACTGTCTGGGTGGATCCGGTTTTGTTGGTTCCCTGTTCCGTGGTCTTGTGTCTCAGGTTTTCCACTGTGTCATGAAGTCATGCCAGCCTGCGGTCTGCCCTCATGCCCATGGTGATATGATGATCTTAGGTCTACATTCAGGCACAGGGGTTTTGGAGGTTGAACAGAGTTCTGGCCACTAGATGTCTCGTGAATGTTCCGGTTATTTCCCGGCCGTGTGTGGTCTTGGGGTGCCTGTCGGGCTGTCTGTCTCTTCCTCGTCTTGAGACCTGAGGTGCTGCTGCCTCCCGGATAAGCCTCTCCTTTACTTATCTCTGGGTAGTTAGCTTTTGGGAGCCAACGGGGCTCCCCACAGAAAATCAGCATTAAATGTAATGAAATGCCATTTTCTGGGTTAGCTCCGGAGGCTCCCTGACACTTCCTCCCTCCGGTTGGAGGTTTTTTATTGTTCAGGAATTGGAATGGTGGGCTGCCGGCTCCCCCTCCTTCACATTGCACAAGTTAACCAGACAGTGGTCTGTTTTAATTCACCTACCTTTCTGGGTTCTTCCTGGTCGTTGGCAATTATGACATACTTTAAATATAAACTGATCATTGGTCATTGCTTCCTGTACCGCTCTGAGGGGGGCCAGGTTCTGACTCGGGGTCCCTGGTAGGCATAAGGACTCCTGTGACTGATGACCCCAAACTAATATAGCACATATCAGCTCGGATAGCTTCAAGGGACCCTCCTGGGCTCCCCAGAAAATGGCGTTTCATTACATTCAATCACTGGTTTCTTGTTAAATTGTCCATAATAATTAAGGAAATTGCTGCGGGAGCTGATGGAAAGGGGGATGGAGTGTATGAGAAAGATATTGCCATTCATGGAGATGTTCTGCTTCACAAGTTCAAAAAGAGAATTTCTCGTAGTCCACAGCAGGTACTCAGGTATGTGATCAGTAACAATATTATACAGTATTCTCCTCATTTGTCCCAGTATGAAGGTTTCCTGTATATATGAATATCCAAGTATTGTAATAATGGCTTGCTATCTCAGTTTGGATCAGACTCTTGCTCAAATTATTCATAAGAAAAGTGTCCGTTTATCAGAATCTTTTCATAAGGTGTGGTTATCATTGTGTGTTGATTACCTAGTGCAATACAGTCATTGTTAAATGAAGATCTACGTCTTGCGTCCTTTGAATACAAATATTGTCTATATGGTTTCAATAGCTTAATGGGGCTGCTTATCAATCATGGGAAACTACAAAATAATTTGAAGTCAGATGAACTTTAGCTCTTTTTTCCCATTGACATGTGATAATGACCAATCTTAACTGCTTAACTTAACGATTTTCACGGCTTATATTCTGGTGTTCTTTTTACTTATAATTCGTATGAAAATAATTTATTTTTGTCCTGCCTTCCATAATATAATGCTGATAAATACCAGGAGGACTGCTAACCACTGGCCAGGCCTAAATAAGGCTAGGCATTTAGTTTTTGGTGTAGAGTTCATCCTTTTGAATACAGATCTACCATTTCATAAGATAAAACAAATACAAAAAAGTTATTTCTGGGAAGATTCTTGTGGTGGCTGTTTAGTGCTTACTGCGCGGTTCAATCCACACCAGGCCCTTTGGGCCATGTAAGCCTAATGGGGACCAGAGGCCAAAACCCCCTTGTAAAGAGGTGCAAGGAACTGGGAATCATAGATCACCAAGAACGGAGAAAAGGTCATTCATTCCACCTGTGCACCACCAGGGGACTGTGTACCTTCCTCCTTCATCCATCAAACTTGACAACATGGTTATATTGCCTGGCGCTTGCATCTATGACATTTAGTGTCATGCTCTTCTTCCTGCTCCAGTGGGGATGGTTTTTCAGATAAGTGTTGGCCATCCTGGTCTTTTCTGTGGGGAGCCCCATCAGCTCCCTGAAGCTATCCCGCTGATACAGTGCTATAAAAGAACTCTGTGACTGATGACACTCGAGTAGTACCTGCTTGCTTGATACCTGCTTGATGGGGTTCTGAGAGTTCTTCTACTCCCCGTGACTTGTGAAAGTTTGGTCCACCAGGCTCTTGCTTGGAGCGGCCCGCAAGCCCACATACCCACCACAGCCCGGATGGTCCGTCCCTCCTTGAGGAAAACCATTTACAGTAGTTTTCTTCTGAAGATGTCCAAGGTAAGATGTATAGTATGGCACTTGATCAGTATGATAGTTTCAGGGAGCCTCCAGGGCTCACCCAGACACAAGCATTTCATTACATTTAATTCTGTTTTATGGGGGAGCCCTGTCGGCTCCCTGGAACCATCCAGGCTGAATGAATATATATAACTTTCTGGCATGAGTCAATGTGCTTGGAGTTCTTGCCTACCGGGTTACCACGAGCCAGAACCTGGCCCCCTCAGAGAGGCACGAGGAGCAATGGCCCATAGAAACCCCCCCTATGGTTGGGAACATTCTATGTTCTATAGTCTACGTGGTGTAGTGGTAAGACACTTGCCTGGCGTTCCGCGAGCGCTTTGTCATGGGTTCATATCCTGGCCGGGGAGGATTTACTGGGCGCAAGTCCTTCTTGAGGTTATCTTGAGATGATTTCGGGGCTTTAGTGTCCCCGCTGCCCGGTCCTCGACAAGGCCTCCACCCCCAGGAAGCAGCCCGTGACAGCTGACTAACACCCAGGTACCTATTTTACTGCTAGGTAACAGGGGCATAGGGTGAAAGAAACTCTGCCCATTGTTTCTCGCCGGCACCTGGGATTGAACCCAGGACCACGGGATCACAAGTCCAGTGTGCTGTCCGCTCGGCCGACCGGCTCCCTTGCTCGGCTGACCGGCTCCCTTAACTGTAGCCTCTGTTTAACTCAACAGTATAATGTGTACTTGATTGTAAAAACAATTCTTTGCGGCGGGGATTGTATTCCAGGGACCTGCCCGAAACGCTGTGTACACTAGTGGCTGTACAAGAATGTAACAACTCTTGTATATATCTCAAAAAAAAAAAAAAAAAAAAAGTCTGCCATCGACCGGGACAGGCACCCAGAAAGGTGGACGCCCCAAAACAAACCCCCTAATCTGGTGAAACTATTGCTACCGAATGCTGAACGAGTGGACAGAACTCTCCAAACAAAAATTAGCAAACGATCATGACGTCGTCATGTTGCCGCGCCGCTGTCTGCACAACCCTCCCCTCTCCAGGAGGGGGAAAGGGGGAGCCCCAGACCCTCGTGCCGGCGACCCAACCTTTAGTTCTTAGGCTGAATGTCAAAAAATGTGAAAAAATGACGCCAATCGGGGGAGGGAGGGATGCCGGGAAGCCTCCGGGACTCACCCAGAAAATGGCGCTTCGTTACATTCATTGCGGGTTTTCTTGGGGAGCCCCGTCAGCTCCCCAGAGCTAACTACCCAAAGATAAGGAAAAACAGGGACTTACCCGGGAGGCGATCCGTCCTCACTCCTCAATGCGAAGTAGAGACAACTGGCTGTAACCGCCAACCCAAGGCCACACAGGCTCTACCAGGCCCAGGGACATTCACCAGGTAGCGAGCTGTCAGGAACCTGTTCGGCCTCCAAAAGCCCTGGGCCCGAATGTCAACCCAAGACCTGTTGCCAAAGACAACAGCCAAAACAGCAAATTTGCGAACGTCGTGGCCACGGGATAGACTGCAGGCCGGCTAGACTTAATAACCCTGTGGGTGACCTGAGAGACCTGAGCTCAGGAACAGGGAAGAAGGGGAAACCGGGTCAACCCAAAGTGCATCCCTGGCCACCGAAGCCGTGGCACGCAAATAACAAAGGAGAGCCGCAACCGGACACAACACATGATGCACCCCTAGGCCTGACCAACCAAGCATCAACGACCCAAGGGCCCCCTCCGGAATGCAGCCATCTCATTCTTTGCCAGAAAAGGAGATGGCTGCAACCACACAAAACGACCACCAGGACCAAGAGAGCAGAAACCCCTGCGCCGGAGGAGAGCATGAAGCTTCCCGACCTGACCCCAAAAGGCCAATGCCAGCAGGAAAAGTGCCTTGGAAAAACAATCCTGAACGGAAGGGGCCACAACAAACCGAGGAGAAGAGAGAAACGAGAGCACCTGGTCCAAAGACCAGGACGGCTCAGGAGGAGCATAAGCTGGCTAGAGATGAAACAACGCACCAGACAGCTTGCGGAATGCGAAAGAAGCAACAACACTGGAAGCAAGCTGTAGTGGCTCCGCCAGCACCGCACAATATGAGGCAACAGTATTCGGCATAAGATGACGAGCCTGGAACAACCAAGAAAGAAAGAACAAAAGAACCCTATCAGAGACCGAAGAACACCTATGCAGTGATAGGAAAAATGGAAAGACCACCAGGAAACTTCATACTGTCACCGAGACGAAGCATGCAGGTAGGAGACCAACAACGAAGCCACCTGCGCACCATACAAGTGATGAAAGACTCGAGTAAAAAAAAAAAAAAAACAGATGCGAAGACTCGAAAAGAAGACCGAACCAGCCTGGTACCGGGCTGGACCGATCTGCTGAAAGAAGCGGAGCCGCGAGAAGTCCCTCGAGTTCGGACACCAAGCAAGCAAGCAGTGCCTGAAACCAAGGCTGGGCCGGCCACCAAGGAGGCAGAAAGACAAATCTTCCCTGGTAAATCTCCAAGCGAGCCATGACCTGGAGCAACAGCTGAACCGGGGGGAAGAGGTATAGGTAACCACACCTCGCCCAGTCCGGCTGAAAGGTGTCGACCCTGATGACCTTGCAGTCGGGGAAGGGCGCTATGTATACCAGGAGACGCCCCGACCACGCCGATGCGAGGAGATCCACTTCCAGAGGCCCGAACGTCCAGCCGAGCCAACTGAACGAGCTGGCGTCGACTGTCCATTCCGTGGACAGGGAAATGAACCGGGACAGGCTGTCCGCCAAGACATTGGGCACCCCCTGAACGTGAACCGCCAGGAGAGCCAAACCCTGAGAACTCAGCAGACGAGTCACCCAAAGCGACTAGCCCCAAAGAGCCAAAGACTGCATCGAACCCAATCGATTCAGGCAATGAACCACGGGGAAACAGTCTGAATAGAGCCTGATCGTCGATCCGCGAATGACCCGAACCCTCCAGAGCAACATCCACACTGCCGCGAACTCCCACACTGTGCTGTGAGCCAGACGGAGGGACAGACCCCACCGCCCCTGGCCGGCCTGGTGAGCACTGGTCACAAAGCCCAAGTTAAGAGACAACGCGTCCGTGAACACATCTAGCGAGTGCTCAGGTAGGCGCCAAGGCACTGAACCCCGAAAAACCCAAAGAGGAAGCCGCGTGACCCTGGAGCAGACGCAGGCGGGAACGTCGGTGAAGCAGAGCCGCCGGAGGATACAAGGAAGCGGTACGAGCGTCCTACCGAAAGCCTAGCCAAGACCAAACCTGAGATGGAACCAGATAGGATTTCCAAGAACCTGAACCCGGTAAGCTGGGAAAAAAACAAAATCCCTGGCGAGAAGACACGCGGATTAGCTGGGAGCCCAAACCAGCCAAGTCGTCAAGGTAGGCCAGAACCTGAACACCTAACAGACGCAACCGGGCCATCACGACTCGAGTAAGGCGAGTGAACATGCGAGGTGCCAGTTTCAACCCGAATGGAAGGCAATGAAAGCGGTAAGCTTGATGCCCCACAACAAAACCGAGCCAGTCCCTAAACTGAAGGCTGTGCATGCCCTGAATCTGGCACCACTGGCCTACCATGACGGAAGAAACCCCGAGCCCTGGCACGACCTTTACGGGAAGGCCCTTCACGAGCCCCCGGAGCACCAATAAGTCCGACATAAGCCGGCAACTAACCAAAATCGCCTGCAGATACTGCACCACTGCAGTCTCTGCAAACAACAATGGACAAAAAGGCGAAGACAACCTAAGAGCCAGGGCCCACGCGGATTCCAAGGAAGAAACAAGCTCCGCC